TGCTTTCTCCCTGTCTGTCTCCGTCTCATCCGCTGGGCTGCTGGGAGCCTGAGGGAGGAGCTAACTGGGTGGTCAGGGGGAAGAGTAGCACCTCTGGGGTCACTCATGCTGTGGTTGTGCATAACTCAAGCTGTTTTACCCCCGCGGGCGGTAAAAAGGTGGTTCGGCTCTGTTCATCCGCTGCCTCCTCATGTTTATATAGTGTTTCCGTGAGTGCTTATTGAGGGGTGTTCCTTGGAATAAAATAAAAATTGAAAATAACATCCAGGCAAAATTAGGTTAAAAGAAGAAGCAGAAAAAAATCCTCCTTTTAATCCACAATTCTGTCACAGAGAATGAGTCTTGCCCGGTCAATTACTAGGGTCAGGTTATGATCATGGGAAACATTTATGCGTGAAAAAGCTTCTAGATATATTGAAATAGAGGGGCAGTTACCATTGGTTTGTTTACTGGGGGGATAGGGGCGAAAATAGCTTCTACATTTGGAGTAATCAGAAACTAAACAAACTTGCAACACTTAGAGCAAAAAGTAGGATAACTAAATTTTCCTCTTATTTACTGTAACTACTCATGGTCATTTATCTTATAGAGTGTATTAAAGCCCCACAGAGTGAGATATGAAGCATAAATGGCCAAGATCGGACAATTTAATAGCCCCTTCTTTAGTCGAAATGCCCCCCAAAGCTATAAAAAGAGCTTCTCTGAAGATAGTTTGTCTCCTCTGGACTAATGTGGCCACTGATGATTCAGCACTAAAATAAAGTAGTTGTCTAAAAACAGTTTAACCTTGAATTTCTGCAAAAAAAAAATAAGAAGAAAAAAACTCTAACAATTTGAATCTGAATCACTCTGGAATACAATAGTTGGGACTTATGTCTTTGTAAAAATCTGCGTTTTTTTTGTATCACTTAAACCTAAAAACAGAGATTTCGCTGCACTCATTTCAACATAATCTCTATGAAGCCATTGTATTCTTCTGAATTCAGCATGTATTTTCACTTGTATAATTCTGTTTATATTGGCTTTCTATTCAAACATGCCTAATAGTTGACTGTTTAAAAGCAACTCAGGTATGTAGCCGGTTAAAAGAGGAATTGCACAACCAGGAACTTGTGTCACCAGCTTATCTTTCACGTGCACGTGGGAGCGGTGCTGGTTCGATGCTGTATGGTGACAGTGACAAATGTTACGAGTGAGCTTTGTGTTTTGAGCTTATGAGTGGGATGGGGGGTGGAAAATGGAAGTTCAGCCTATCTGACATGCATATTGCAATAGTGACCACAAAATCACGTCGGTGACTGTTAGCGGCATCGGGCCGAGTTTCGTGTTTGGACTTAGATGATATTTCTGCTTATCTGGGGATTTATCTGGATGGACAGGGTGAGTGACCCTGTGAGGAGGACAGATAGCTGTGGAACACGAGTCTGAGGGGTTTGCATTAAGTCAGAACGGATAGGCCACATTTGGATTCAGTGTCAGGCAGCTTTTGCTTTTTAACCCCGCACACAAATCTTTGGCTTCGCGCAGCATGTATTTGTGTATTGTCACACCATGCTATCTTGTGTTGTTCCAGGCAAACTGCAGGCAACTTGGCTTCAACACTTTTGTGTTATCTCGGTTGTTGTGCTGCTTTGATTCAGAAGTGCTCGATGTGGTGCACAATCCCTTCTTTGTCACGCATGGGAGCTCTATGCGAGGCTCTGTGTGTTTGAGCACGATTTGTTTTAATTGATGAGCTTGGTAAAAAATCAGTCTGCCTGTGCTGATGGCAAACAGAAAATCAACCTTAAGGGGATGGTGAATGTGTAGCAGGGAACGAAAAACAGGAGCCTGAAAAAACTCATTTTGCCGTGTGAATTTTCGGAGTGTGTAATCTTTTGTTTATATTGCAAATGCCTCGCACGCGTAGGGGAGGTATGGCATTTAGTCCTCTGAATATGTATGACTGTCCTCACGGAAAATTCAATCTGCAAATAGCGACAGTCTTTGCTCAGCTACAGGACTGAAATTCAGTTATCAGGCGTGATGGCCTGTGTACGTCGGCACGGAAAGCAATCAGGCCGAGAATAAAGCCACTGTGTCTCTCTCACGGCCACGGAGAAGCTATCCGAGGATCTGTTCCAGAAAATTCCTGTGAGAAAAGAGCTTCTGTGAGCTCGGTTCGAGCATGTATGAAGGGGCCAAGCGAGCACGTGAAGGCTGCATCAGAATCAGCCCCTGCAGACAGACATGTGCACGACCTCGTTGGTAAAATGTGTTCCTGCGTTCGCTATTTTTTTATTTTATTTTATTTTTTTTAACGAGAAGCACTGTAGCTGGCATGTTGATTAGGAGTGACACTGCATTTGAAGTAAAAGGTGGAGTGAGTTTTGAAATAATTGCACCCAGAGATGGCGGGCTGTCTGCTGGAGCGGTTGAGTTCAACGCTCGGTTCGAGGGCGCTTCATTCTTTCACTGGCAGTTGCTCAGATTGTTGAAACAGAGAGGAGTGCATCTCATTGACCTCACCCCCTCACAGATTTCGCAGGCCGGTCTGCTGATTCAGATTGTCAACCTTGCTCTGTGCACAGTTCCAACAAAGTGCCACAGAATGTGCATAAACTGTTATGTGTCAATTTGCATGTATACTGTATGTGACTGTTTGTTACCGCAGAAATGTTTGAAATATTTCACAGAATATTCGTTTCCGAGGAATATCTTTAGCATATTCCTTTTATAGCCTTTCACCTCCACCTCCCTTCACTTAATATTTGTTCTGTCTTTACACCTGTCTGCGCTTGACTATGTGCAATCTGTCATTTGCGGTATCTGTTAATCTTCTATATATATGTGCTATATGTCCTCACTAATAATGAAGTTGAAACATTTAACAGTCATTTCTGTTGACTATATATATCAGCAACATCTTTGCTTAGTATTTCCAAGCAAAAATAGCCAACATTTGGGTTATTTTTTAATAAAACCCTTTTCTGCTTATCCTCTTTTGTCATAAAAAACTGCAAATATCAAACTTGACCAGGAAAATGAAGGTGAAAAGACTTAGTAGTATTATAAGGAATTACATTCAGCTGAGTGACCTTCATCAAGGACATAAAAATGACACAAAATATCAGACCCTATACCCAAATATTCCACAGGTTATGTTCTGTATGTGCACACTGTCCCTCAGTTCATTAAACCACAGAAGCATTCAGTCTGATGAAGTTCAATTATGAAAAAATAACACTCACGGCTATCAAAAATAAACAATTTCTCAAGCAGTCAATTACACAACTGCAAAGGCTTCTATTATTCATATCCCTTCATTCAAAAACAGAGAATTAGCATTTGAAACACATTGTTAATCACATAAACAGCTACCAGAGTGACGCCTTGTGTTAATAGTCATCAATATGAATTCCCATTTACGAAAGATCCCTGGAGAACAAACCCTATCTAAGAATTACAGAGCTATTACTACAGAAAATAATCCAAATTGAATTTTTAATACAAAGTGGACGATTATTAATCTCTTCTCCGCCGCATCATCTAAAGTTACTTCATTCATTAACTGCTCCCTAATTTATCAATGTCACACAGCTAATGAATTACCCAAGACCTCCTGCCGAGGGATGTCATGTATGTTTCTCATAGATACATGGTCTGCTGAGGAAGAAAAAAATAGCCCACAATTAGTTTTATTATCATTAACCACAGACCTTCCAGGTTACAAAAGACTCATCCTACAAAGCTCCCAGGACCCAGACAACAAGTGCCTGTTAAGCCTATTATCCCCACTCTGGTATCTGGTCATGTTACGTTTAAAAGGGTGCACACTCCCCATGTTTTAAGACTGTGGGGGGGTCTCCGAATGATTTGTTGAAAATAAAGATCACTGTCAAGATTGAATGCGTATAAATACACACATATTCATTTATACCTGATGTCAATTCTCATGCAAATAAGAAAAAAATGGTCTCACACAACTCTGAGCTTAGGAATAAAACATCACAATGAGAACCACAAGGTTATCCTCAAACGGATGTGGGCACATGCACGACGTGCACCGAGCAGCTATTCCAACTCTCTTGGATGCATCCTTCACTTCTCTTTTTCCTTTTTTGATTTCGCTACGCTCCCTGGGCTCTGTGATGACTGAGCTCCACTTGGCCCAGGGGTTTCCGAACAGAAGGATGTTTTCAAGATTCCTCATGTGAATCATGAGCTGACTTCTCATTAAAGGCTGCTTTTTAATATATCTGCAAGCCTACATGAAAGGGGAAGTGGGCAGTCTAAACTTGATTGTGGGTTATGTAATTCTGGAAGTATTATTCCATACTATAGACAGAGTTCTGTCCTTGTTTTATCTTTCTGCTGATCTTTAACTGGTTCTGGGCTCCACAGCAACTCTTTGTTACCACTGGGCTCTTAACCAGAAACACAGCCCCATGTTAAATAGATACTGGATGATTAGAAAAAATAAAAAGAAAGAATTTCAATACTATATATTAATTTCAGATAATTGATAGTTTTTAAATCGATCTAATTGATTTTTTAAATGGCTATAGCCACATAAAATAGATAATTATAGATATTTAGTTTTTTTTTCTGTACCTCCCTGTACATTAATTGATTTATGACACCTTTGGTTCAGTTATTTAGGTGATATTTATACTTTTCTAGTTAAACTAGCAATGAAAGTTATCCAAAAATGTAGTCTGCAGGAACTGAGTGGAGGACCGAGGGCGCGGGGCTGCGCACCGGCGTCCCCGGGGAATAGTGATGGAGCACCTGCCAGACCCGAGCCAGCCAAGCGGGGCCACGCGCACTATTTTTCCTCCCAATAATTGGAAGTGCAGACATAAACTGCAGAAAACATTAAGTTTTTCTTCCAAAAGGGATAACAACTCAAGACGGCGGCGCGACATGTGACGTGCGTAATTCTCTGGTTAAATCGGAGCAAGACGCGTGACGACCCGAGAATGACTTTTTTTTCCCACACTCCCCACTCTGTGTCTTACCAAGCAAGCGGTTCCATTGAGGAGGAGCAGAATAAAGCCGTGGTTGGGACGCATCATTCCGGCGCGTAAAGCTCACGGCTCCCCCTCCACGGTGCAAAAGGCTATCTAGATCTAAAAAAGAACTCCCGGAGACTGGCTTTTTTTTTTTTTTTTTTCCTTTTTCAGGAGGATGGTTTTCCTACGGCGCCGGAACCCTCTCGGCTTACGCACGGTCCCATATCCAAAACCAGGCTCAAGTGCTGCTTCCACGAACCCAAAAAAAAAGAAAAAGAAACCCTCAGGAAAACCACTTGAAGCGCCCCTGTTCTGTTTGCTCTTCCGCCCCAATCCTGTGTTTGAGTCACATTAGTTGTGCTGTGAGAAATCCATATATACGCAGAAGGCTGTTATGATCCAGTCAAAAAAAAAAAGAAAAAAAAGAAAAAAAAGAGAGAAAAAAAAGAAGAGATCCCAGCTCAGAGTGAGATGACTTCAGTGGGAGGTGGGTTGATCGTGTCTGGTCACTGGTGTGAGTGGAGATCCTGGAGGGATGGAGCTGCAGACTCCTGCGTAAACGGAGCGATGCTGAGACTGGCAAGAGCCAACAGACGATTTAACAGTTTCTTTTCTCCCCCTCTCCCTCTCCCTCTCCCTCTCCCTGTGTGTGCGTTTGTGTATATCCCCTCTTTCCCATCACTCCCCCCTTTGTCTTAGTCGCCCTCTCTCACCCAACCTCTCCCTCTTTCCACTACTTTTATCCATTTATTCTAAGAAACCAGTCTTCAATTAAATGAGAAACAACTGAATTAAAAACTTTCACAGACATCTAATGTATTTATTTTTACATTTTTACATTTTTACCCCTCTTCTCTGTTCCAATACCAATATTTCCAAATTAGATTTTCAAGCACGGAGAGCTTTTCTTACTAATCTGACACTTCATTGGGAATTCCTCATCAGCAGTTTTGTCATATCGTGTAATCATCGCCGTGCTCTGAAACCTATTGATTGGGAAATCCCGGATCTGTTTTCAGACAGTGTGTCACAACAAAAACCAGCTAGCTGTCGTGTTGAAACTGCAGGTGTCAAGGCTGAGGTTTCCAGCTCAAACAACTGGCCAGTGAAGGGGCTCGCTGTCACGCTGAGCCGCATCGTACATGTTAAACTCCGAATGTTTGTCCTCTCCACAGACCTGCTATTGATCCGCAGCTCTTCTGGGGAGTATTGACACAAATGGGGAGCCCAGATGAACCACTGACCGTCACCTCGGTGAGGTGTGATTATTAATGGCTTTCTTCAATGACACACAGTTCATTGGGAACAGGTTAACGAACTGAATTGCAAGATATCGCCATGCAGGTCGCCCGGCTCCCAACAGCTCCATTTCAGCTTAATTAGACCCTTAGATGAATTTGATCCATTTTGTCCTCTAACAGTCCTAACACTTACATTCATGCTGTTGCGCTACACAATAGAAAAGAAGACCTGGATGGCATCCTCCTGGGTCTAAGGGAGGTCTCAGAGGCATTTCTTCTTGTGTTTTCTAGGATCGACTCATTCAAATCCTTTCCTTGTATTTTCCTCTGCATCTGCTAATAATGCATGTGGTGTCGTCTGCCCGTGGTGCAGAGAGAAGGTTAATTGTTCTCAGATCAGAGGTTAATTGGCTCCACACTTCTTATACTGAGGGACTTGACCCCGGAGGGTGCAGGTTCAGTGCGCCAGGTTCTCTAAAGTGGAGGAGCCATGTTAATCCAGTGAGAAAAAGAGTTGTGGAGCAGGGAAATTCCTTTTTGCCCTTTTCCTGCCCATGCAAACACAAACGCATGTAGGGGAGGCTGGTTTAAGATGGGAATGGGCATATACTTGCTTGATTTCTTACTATCTTACCTTTTATTCGATCATTTCAAATGTTAAACTGCCTTTGCACAATTCAAACTATAAGGGAGCTGTTTGGGAAAGGAAACAGAAACCTATAAAGGGATATCCTCCACCACAATCAGAAGAAGCAGCAACCGTCATAAAACTCCTTTTAAAGCAGAGCACGTTCATTTGTGCGCACGCTTTTACTCCTGCACATAATTGAAGGGCTATAACCCGGTGAATTCATCCTCTGGGAAACCGGCAGACAAACAGCTGCTATTTTTTACTCGCTTAAAAAAGAAATTGTAGATGCCGCGATAACAATCATTCGACACCCGGGGTCGACTTATCTTGATGTTGTTTCACACACGACTCACATCAGCATGACAAATAGGGAATGTGCGTTTGTGTGTTTTCCTTTTTTATTCCGCTCTCCTGCCAAACCACAACAATTGAGCTCAATCATTGCATTGCTTGACACGTAATCCCATTTCACAGTGTAATTCAGTTTGAATGAGGAGCTGCAGGCGACAGACAGCTTGCTTTTAGACGTGCAGGGCAGGGCACAACGGTTCATGCCTGAGTGTGGCCTGCCCTCTAGTGTCCTAAATGTCTCCAGCACTCTCTGGACAACGGCCACATTTTTGAGCTGAACTCCTTTCAAGGTGGTGAAATCATTCAAAGTATAAATCCATGAACAAGTTAAATGAGGCTACTTATCTGCTTTTGTGTGCTGGACGCTGATATTGATGTGAAATCTGTCCTTTACTCTCACCCCGAAACAAAGGACACAATCAGAGAAATGGGGGTTTATGAACAGACATTTCCCCCACTTAAATAAGTTCAAATAGCCTTTTGTGAAGCGTTTGGCTTATTGTCATGCTGTATGTATGAGTTGGGTCCTATTTTATTTTGCATGTTTTTATAAGTCTTACAGTATAGTAACAGTTACACCAATGGATAGAACATGTCATAATCCATCCACGAAAGCACAATTTTGAAAACAGCAATGTTTAAATGCACGGAATGTATTGATAATTTAATTTTTCAGAAGAAACAATTGTTATTTTTCAATTTTATATCTTGTGGCCTCATAGAAAGCACCCCCTTTACTGTCTGTGTGGCTGTCTTTGAGCAATTTATTTCCCCAAAATGACAGCCCATTCACATGTTCCTGCTTCCAACAACAAGCTGAGCACACATCACAACGAAGCTCAACCACCTTATTTTCCAAATGTGTCATAACAAACGTAAAATTAACAGTATATATTTCAGCTTTTTTTTTCTCGGTGTGCCCAGACGTCTGCAGCTTGTTTTTATTTTTTACTGTCCTATTGTCAGTCAAAAGCTTAGTACAGAGACTGCATTTTGGGAAACATAAAAAATGTGATCATTAGTCCCGCCTGGGGATAATTTAAGGTACACAGCAGCTGTCCGTGCTTTTTTTTCCAGGGTGGGTGATTTGTTTACCACTTTGTCTGAACTTTCTGGACTAGGTAATATTAATGTGGCGGAGTAAAGACTCGGAGGCTCCACAGGCGAGTTGTTGGCTCTTTGTTCCACCTGTAATTGTTGTTCCTGCTCTGCTGCTGAAGTTTTGCAAGTAATTTGTGTGGAACAAATGTTCTCCTGTTTATTTCCCCGAGAGTAACATGTGACCACATTAACATCAAACAACGACACATTTATATTCCCCCTAAATATGCTCAGACGACTACATTAACACCATTTATGCAGCACTGAACCCATAAATAGAAATTCACTGACTCACCAAACATCTTTAATTTGAATTTTAGTGTGTGACTTTGCAAGTGACTTCTTAATGGTTATTCATGCACTGGCCTGCAAAGTCTGCAGGAGTCTTGGTTTGATTTAGGAACAGTGTGCGTCCACTATGGGGCGCTGTGACACCAGGTAACTCCTTACAGGAGCCGCTCAGCCCTCCACCTGCATGGACGTCAATAACCATCTATCAGATTTGATGTCTGACAACGTATACATGCTGTTATACAAGCTGTCTTTTTTTTTTCACTCTGTCAGGAGACAAACTGAGTTCATTCTGTACATTTCAGGCTTGTTTAGGATATCCAGATGGTTTGGTTTCAGTCTGACAAATTAGAATTTATACATTAAAAGACTGGACGCTGTAAAAAGGGAGCAGGAAGCATTATCCTATAGAGATAACGGGAGTCATTTTCCCCCTTTAACACTGTTTTCACTCTGTTCACGACTCTCCCCTCCACAGCCTTGATCTGTAATCCTCACAGATCTAAATATATGAGGCACTTCAAGATAACAATAGACTGATTGATCCTCACAAGCTGCTCTGTGACTCTGCAGCCAGTCACTGTGTCCTCTGCTAATCGATGGCGTTCTAGGGAAAAAAAGCAGGGTGGAGGGGACGGGAGAGGGATTCTGGAAGCTGGCAGTAGAGAGAAGGGATCCAGAGACGAGAGCAGGTTTAAATGTGGATTTAAAGATGAAAAGAGGTCTGGATAGATGAGCAGAATCAAATCCCCGCTCTGGGAGGTTTACACATTCAGGATCCAGTAATCCTTCACAGATCCCTTTTTCTTTATGTTTCATTTCCTCCATTTTCTCCACAAAGAGGAAAATTAGTGCTTCTTTGATGGGACACTCACCAAAGCGCCAGTCTTTACATTTTTGTCAGTTTAGGAAATGCCTCTGTATTTTAATACCTTTGTTTATTTCCCCTCTCCCATATTCTGTGGCACTTTCAAAGATGGACGTGCTCCTTCCCGCTTCATCTTAAGATCTCGTGTAAACTTTAAATGTTCCTCAGGGGTTAATTGAGTTGCTGAAGGGAAGTGACACACATTTGGGGCTTGTCAGTTTATAATTTTCCTTCTTTTTTTCCCCCCCTCATTGAAGAATTATTACTTAACTGATTACTTCCAGACCCTCCACAGGACTCAGACACAGAGGCTTGTTCCATTTAAATGTTGCTTCAAATCCTTTTAACTGCACCAGTGGTGGAGCTGAAGGGGAGGATTTCTGGCCTGTTCCAGCTAAAGTAAAATGGCATGCCAACTGATGGATATTCAGATTAGATTTTACCCTTAATTGGCATTTTATTGATGTTTAGTCTCATATGTACCATAAACAATCCTTTGTATACATGCTATTACATTTGGATGGGAATCCAGCCAATATCAATTGGGAATGACACAGAATTCAACCAGGAAAGTGTTTTT